CTCCCCTCCCCTCCCTCCCTCTCCCTCTCCCACCTGCACCGCCCTCATCCTGGAACGCTGGGGCGGGGTTCTCGCCCTCCTCCAGCTCGGCCTGCAGCCGAATGTTGACGTGGTTGACGAGGTGGGAGAAGAGGGCCAGGGTGAAAGCAATGGCTGCACTGTACTGCTTGGATCCTGAAGCCAGGAGAGCCAGGCGTCAGGGCCCTGGCCCCTAATGAGGAGCAGGCACCATCAATCCCTGTCTCACGCGCACTCAATTCCCCAGGGATCCACTGCACCGAAAAGCGTGCAGGGTAAGAGCCTTCCGAGCCCCGAGCCCACCATCCCTACACTACAACTGCCAGCCACCCTGCACGCCCTCAGCAGGGCCCTCTGATCTGAGCTCGCCTGCTGAGAGCCCGGCAGCCTGACACCCAACCTGCTGCCTCCCAGTCTTCTCTGTGTGCCTCCCCAGAAAGCCTCCCGGTGGGCCTGAGCGCCCCTGAAGCAAGGGTGTAAAACCTGACTGATCCGGACTGAGCGTGCTGGCCCCCAGCCCGTGGGTGTGTGCGTGCGTGTGTGTGTCTCTCCGTGGGAGGGGACACACAGGAGGTGCTGCAGGGCAGGCTCTGCGGCCCTCACTCTCTAACAGCCAGGCAGTGACCAGGCAGTGAGGAGTCGGTGCGGGGCTGGGGACACCGGGAAGGTTACCCGCTCTCTTCAGGCTGTGCACACCCATGAGGCAGATGATGAGCATCTGAAAGAGGAGCAGGTCTGGGAGGAAAGCATAGCCGCTCTCATACTCCTCCTCTTCCTCACTGGCCAGGCTGAGGCTGGGCGAGGAGGGCAGGTAGAAGAGACACAGGTTGAAGTCCTCCAGGACTGACTGGCAAAGTGAAGTGAGCTCAGAGTCCACGGAGCTACAGAAGGGCAGAAGTAATGGAGGTCAGGGATGGGCAGGGAGGGGCAAAGATTTGACCACACAGAGGAAAGACCGAGGGGCTTCAGATGGGGAGGGAGCTGCGCCGGACGGGCTACCAAAGCAGGCAAAATGAAACAGGGGTATAACTCGGGGAAAGGCTTAGGCCAGGGCCAGGTCCCATCCCCCGTGCCACAAAGCCAAACAGAGCAAGCAGAACAGACAGCACGGGAAGGGGTGGTGGCTCCCGCTCACTGCTCTTGGCCCCCATGCAGCGCCTGCTCTGGGTGCAGTGAGCTGCTCTGAGCTTGGCCCAGGACCCAACACTGCAAAGGTGGCCGGGCTGGGTCCTCGGGGCTTGGTGCCCATGCCTCTCCCCCTCCACTCACCTGCTTTTGGGCTGCAGGAGGCTCTGTAGATACATGAAGTTCACCAGCAACCTCTTAATGTCTTTGCACCTGCAATGACAGGGCCCCAGGTGAATGCGGGGTGGCCCAGCCGCACCCAGGCAGACAGCAGGCACAGGCCGGCCCCACGCACCGCTTTCTGCTGGGAGAGAGCTTCCGAGTCTCACACTTCTTCAGCTGGTGGTACATCTTGGCTGCCTTGTCATACAGCCGCTTGAGGTTCCCATAGGCCCCCTCGAAGGACACTTCCGACTGGATGCTGAGGAGACACAGGGGAAAGCGGCTGTGTCTTGGCAGGAGAGGTGGGGACATGAGTGTTGTGCTAAAATGTTCCTGCTTAAGTCTCTGTGGCCCTGGTCTCACCGCCTGCAGCCTCACCTTCCTTGTACATTCTCAGGTGAAACACACAAGCAATTTCAGATTAATCTGAGTAAGATTTTACTCTCCTCCCCACATTCTCTGCAATTTATCCTCCTCGGATTACAAACTTAGTAGCACTGAAATACATCAGCCTAACTCTACACCAGCCCCACTACAAACACGCACAGTTCCATCGCATTCCAGGCGGTGCTCCCAGCACGCACTCAAAGCTCACACTGAACACCAGCTGTGTCAGGGACGGTGAACCCCAATACTGTCCACACTGAAACCGGGAAGTGGAGCTCAGAGAACAAGTGTGCCCAGGCCACACTGACAACAAAGCTCAATCTCCAATCTCCTCCATCTCACTACAAAACCAGGGATCTGCTAGACAATGCATGCTCGTAGTTCCAGCTACTCAGGAGGCTGAAGCAGGAGAATCACAAGTTCAAGGGCAGCCTGCACAATACTTAAAAGACCCTGTCTCAAAATAAAACTAAGCCAGAACCAGCGTGATGGAGCACATCTATAATCTAGCATTCTGGGAGGCTAAGGCAGAAATACTGAGTTTGAGCTCAACCTGGGCAACGGAGCAAGACTCTGCTTGGTGCGCAGATTAGTGCAAAGGCCCTGGGTTCAATCCCCAGTACTGCAAAACATAACAAAAAATTTTAAAAGGCTGGGGATGTAGCTCAGTGGTACGATGCTTGCCTAACATGTGCAAAGCCCTGGGGTTCAATCCTCAGCACAACCCCAAAAACATTTGGTACTAATCAGCATAATTTGTCTTGGTCTTATTTATTTTATTTTTACATTTATCAAAAATGAGGGTCAGGGATTTAGCTCAGGGGTGCCGCCACCTGCCTCGCAAGCGCAAGGACCCGAGTTTAATCCCTAGTACCCCCCCAAAAAAAGACATTTTACTGACAATATTTACAATATGTTATTTTATTTTATTATTATTTTCTGTACCAGGGATAGGACTTAGGACCTTGCACTTGCGAGGCAGGCGGCGGCACCCCTGAGCTACATCCCAGCCTCAGCCTTATTTCTGAAAACTTTATGTCAGTCAGATGTAATGGTGCACACTGGTAATCCCAGCACTCGAGAGACCAAGGCAAGAAAGTGAGTTTAGGATTAGGACCAGCCTGGCCTCACAGCAAGACCCCATCTCAGAAAGCAGAGACAAAATAAAAATCAACCTTTTAGGGCAAAAGGTATAGTTTAATGCTAGAGTATGTATAAGGCTCTGGGTTCCATCCTGAGCATCAAAAAACAAAAAACCGGGGATTTAGCTCAGTGGCGCCATGCCTGCCTCGCAAGTACAGGGTCCTGAGTTTGATCCCTGGTATCAAAAAACCCCAAAAGCAAAAAACACCTCCTCATCAATCCAAGCATAGACACAGCAGTAAGATGCTGGCAGCCAGTCTGCACATACCTGGAGGGAGGGAAGGTGTGCCTTGGGGGCTGACACTTCCTTGCTACAGGGAGTAAGCTTCTTTTCCCAGGTGAGGTAGGACCACAGCACACTGGGTTTTTGTTTGAGATGGGTTGTGTGTAGCCCAGGCTCAGCCCCCCGCCCAGGGCTGAGATTACCGGCGTGTACCACACCTGGTTTGAATTTGCGTTGGTCTCTGCAGATAACCCCATCCTCCCTTGATTACAGCCAGGGCACTTTACGCGCTCTACAAGAACAGCTGGCTTCCCCAGTGGACTTCACCCTCACTCCTCAGCGCTGTGGGCTTCCCAGGTGGTCCACCCCTGACGACCCCTTCAGCAGCAACATTTGCCCTCGGTACCTCACACACTAGCACCTTACGTCAAGGCCATCCTGGGTGCCCTGAATTTGTATTTTTCTTCTAAGAGCGGAGGGTCAGACCCATCCCGCTGCCAAGCAGGTTGCTCCACGCTTGTGACCACATTCATACACTGGGGCTCCAGAATCCTGAAGATCTTTTCAGAGCCACTTCAGAACCATCTTATGTAACAGCAAATTGATTTCTTGCAGGGAGAGATAAGTAACAGTTTTGCATAAAGTACTGTATAGCCATTTTGGCTGTGTCCGTGCCTACAAACCCCGTGGCTCTCTGCGAAGCAGCAGAGCTGTGTCGGGGCCCCCGGATGGAGGCGCTCCTTGTTCCAGCCTTCTCACATCTAGCCATCAGGAGCTGAAATTCCTCAGAGCAGGGCTGGGCAGCGCTGGGGATACTCACCAGCGCAGGTAGCAGTACATGGCTTCCACGTTGTAGTACTTGCTGCCCGCGAGGGTGCCGAGCTGGTTGAAGGGCATCCCTGCAGAGTGAGAGCGTCCACACAGCACAAGACAGTCAGCCGGCGAGCCCGACCCGCATTAAGCACCTGGACACTCAGGGGAGACCAGCTGGGTCTGCAGGCAATGCTGGTGCCTCGGGTGAGCAGCAGCTGAGCTCTGTTCCTCTGGGGCACTGACGTCCTGCCCGCTGTGCTGGAACCGCCTGCCCCTTGTGTGTGTGCCTTCTACTTCCATTGCGGCCTTTGAGCAGGTGGCCTCCACGGCGCCCTCTCCCCTCCCAGGGCTCCGTTTCCTACCTCTGAGTGCCTTGCCAGCCCTCCTCTCCCCACCATACAATCATACTCCTCATCTCGCTGAGGGGACAGCCCAAGCACCCTGTCCTCTTTTTACAGAAACTTTGTGGACAAGGGAGCCCTCTTCTCCCCTCTTCCTCTCCTGCCTCCCTCCTCCTGGTGAAACGACCCCCCTGCCGCCCCGCGTGTGCTACAAGGTGGATGGGGCTCAGGGTGGCAAGGTCCTGGGGAAATGAGGAGACTGCCTGCCTTCTTCTTGGAAATGCTACTGGTCAGGGGGGCCAGCAGGGGCTCACTTACCAATCTGGGGAGCTACTGACAGGGCCTGGTGGTAGAATCTCTCGGCAAGCAGCTCGGTGTCTACCCCAGCCAGTTCATTCTGATAGCGTGCTGCAGGGCGGAGAAGGGAGACAGGGTGACTCTGTGTTTCCGAGAGCTCCCCCACACAGTGAAGAGCTGAGAGAGCCTGGGAGGCAGACACCCAAGCGAGGAGGCAGGCTGAGGGGTCCCTGGCACAATCTTAGACCTGCGTGACCACAGCCCGACCACCCGCATGCTCTTCCTTGCTGGATGGTTCAAAAGGTCAAAAGGACCTGGTGTGTGTAAAACAGAAAGGCTTCTTGCTATGCCTCCCCGTGAAGGGCAGCTGCAGCACGTGTGACTGCTGCAGACATCTCTGATGCTTGTTTCCAGAATCTACAAAGGCACCACAAGGGTACTCCGGGCCACCACTGGGAAATGTCTGCCTCTATGCACAATGCCCACAAGGTGCTGTGGAGGGCTGGAGGTGCTGCAGAGCATCAAGTCTATAAAAGGTAACACACCCTGCCAGCCACACAGCAGCCACCCCATGAAGCACAGGCATCTACGAGGACCAGAGACTCAGGAGCCATAAGCAAAAGGGAACTTTCTGTCCTCAGGAACATCCCTCAGGTCTGTTAGCGCTCCCTGAAGTCCTGCTGAAATTTCTATTCATTTAAGAGCCCATAAAGATAAAAGCCTCCAGCAAGAAAGAGGAAGCCAGGCCCGGGAGGCTGAGGCAGGATCACCCAGCCTGGGCTACATAGTGAGTTCAAGGTCAGCCTGAATTACATAATCAGACCTTGTCTCAAAAAAAGAGAAGACGGTCAAGTAAAAATCTTTTTAACCCACTACAGTAACAGAGATCATCCTAACTTCTCAAAGCTCAAAGGTATTTCCCCTTTCCTCTAATCACTGATCCTTTGTGCCTAAGGCACGGTGGTGAAACTAAGGATCACAGGAAGCAGAGAGGAGGGGAAAGCCAGGCAAGGCAGTGCATGCCTCTAACTCCAGCACTCCACAAACTGGGGCAGGAAAATCATGACTTCAGGAAAGCCTGGCCTGGAGCAAGACCCTACCTAAAAGAACAACAACAACAAAAGAATGGAAGGGAAAAATGATCAGAGGCCCAGCTGTTCCTTCTGCTCTCTCATCATGTGAAAGGCGGCACCAACCACTGAAGTAGCCTGGGCCTTGCTGTGCCCCAAAACAGAGCAAAGGGAAGGCTTGGACGCTTACACAGGTCCCCCAGGTACACTAGACATCGGTGGCAGGCCATCTGTGCCCAGTCCATCTCCTTCCCCGAGGCGGACACTGGCTTCTTGCATCCTGAAAGAGAGGGGAAGAAGTGTAAGCACCCACTCTCTGCCCCCAGGCCTTCCTTGGAAGCCTGACTCCCGCAGCATCCTGGATTCAGGCAGAGATGCAGGGGCTCACAGGCAGGACTCCTTCACAGGGTGAGATGGAAGTGGATGAGGAGGGCTAGGCTCTAACCCAGGAGGGCAGTGCCACTGAGGGAAGTCGTTTAAACAGTCAGAATAGACAGGTGTCTAGGAGGAGATACACGCCTGTCGTGGAAAGACCGAGTTCCTGCTGTAGAAGCCATCTCTGTAAAGACAAAAGGTTGGGGGATGAAGGAAAGCCGACCTGCTAAAGAGTGGAATGCGAGTGAGCCCAGGAAAAAGCTCCCAGCCTCTGCCTAGTGGGGTCCCAAGGAGACAGCAGCCACTGGAGGGTCTTCCTATGAAGGAGACAAGCTCGCCTCACCTCACCTCGCCTGAGGATCAGTGACAGCCACAGCCAAATACACCTGGGCTCACCTCCACGACCCACCCTGTCATCTCAGTCCCGAAAGTTTCAGCTCACTGGGTGCCAACTTCCTCTCATGCCAGACACTGGTTTAAATGCCCACAGCATTAACAAATCCCACAGCAATCCCAGGAGGTCACTGCTACTAAGTCACACAGCCAGAATTCAAAAAGCAATCTGATGCTGGGAGCAGCGCTGCACGCCTCTAATTCCAGCACTCAGGACACTGAGGAAGGAGGATGGTCACGAGTTCAAGGCCAGCCTGGGCTGTGTAGCAAGATCCTATCTCCAAAAAAAAAAGAAAGAAAGAGAAAAACGCAATCTGAGCTAGGTATGGTAATGCACACCAATAATCTCAGAATTTGGAAGGCTGAAATAGGAAGATCATGAGTTTTTTTTTTTTTGGTACTGGAGATTGAACTTGGGACCTTGCACTTGTGAGGCAGGTGGCGGCACCACTGAGCTGAATCCCCAGCTTGAGATCATGAGTTTTTGAGGCCAGCCTGGGATACCTAGGTAAGATCTTATCTCAAAAAGCCAAAAACCCCTGGCACCGGGATGCAGGGATCATCCCCTAACCCACTGCCCCTTGCAGCCTCTACTAGGTGTGGGCTCCCACTCTGTAAAGTGCTTCCCCTTCTTCCTGTAGAAACCTTAGTTGGCTGAACGAGAAGACCCGCAGGGAAAAGCTAACGTGGCTGGGAACTGACCCTCTGCAGCCTCGTCTGGGGCCGTGGGGGCCACCTCGGCACGTGCCGCAGTGTGTGCTGGGGATGGAGCCCAGGCTCACACACGCTGGCCGCCGCAGAGCTGTCGTTTCAGGTGCATTCAGCACACAGAGCACAGATGCTTGGCTTCTGACCGGTGGATGCTGCCATGTGGGGGTCACAGGCACGGCAAAGCCATGGCCCCGCTGTTAAGCCAGGATATGTGTCCTGAGGAGGGTGGTGGGTGCTGTGGGAAGAAGGGACTGCCATGGCCAGAAGCGCTGGGGAGGAGCTCTAAAGAAAGGCCGAAGCAAAGAGAAACCAGCTAGAAGTGGAAGTAAAACTGCTGCCAGGGCTGGACGTAGCTCAGGGGTGCCGCACCTGCCTGGCAAGCACAAGGTCCTGAGTTGATTCCCGGTACCAAAACTGGAGCCAGTACCTGCTCACTGAAAAGGGATCTCTACTGTTCTGAAAGAATGAAAAAGAAAAAGAAAAAAAAAAAAAAACCCCGCATTTTCCAGTGCTTTCAAAAATTTCAATACTTATTTTCCTTTCTTCTTCTTTCTTTCTTTTGGATTTTTGAGGCAGGGTCTCATTATTAGTTCACTATGTAGCTCAGGTCAGCCTTGAACTCGCAGTGGTTCTCCTGCCTCATTACAGGCATGTGCCAGTAGGCCAGGCCAAAAATCTCATCAAATACTGAGAAGTCAAAGGAAAGTGCCAGCAAATTCCAACTAAAAGAAGAAATGTAATTAATGCCACCTGCCAGACCCGAACTACTCCATCCCTCCTGCTCCTCCACAGGAGCTCACGGTCCTGGGCCTCTGTTCCTCACATCTCTACCCTGACCCATGTGCGTGTGTGCACACATCCAAGTTTCAGGAAGCATTTGCAGGTGTGCCCAGATCTCCCTCTGCCAGGCGGGGGCACAAGGTGCACAAACCCTGAGAGACACGAAGGTCAGAGAATGAGCGTGAGAATCCACTTACTCAATACCACCTTTTGGGCACCAAGTATGGTGTCGCATGCCTGGAACTCCAGCCCTCAGGCTGAGGCAGGAGGATCTCCATGAGTTTGAAGCCAGTCTGAGCTACATAGCAAATTCCAGCCTGAACTCAAAAAGGCTTGTTTTTTGAGACCCTGCCTCAAAAAACAAACATGATTGGGGATGTAGTTCAGTGGTGCTTTGCCTGCCTGGCAAGCGCAAAGTCCTGGGTTCAATACCTGGTACAAGAGCCCCAGAGAACACCTTTCAGGCCACTGACCGATGAGGGGGTCGGTGACATGGGTCCAGTCAATGCAGCACTGCAGCTCCAGCTGGTAGTGGGACTGGATATAGAGAAGGAGATGCTGGTAGAAGCCAATGCCAGCAACCAGGTGTGTCCGGTAGGCACATTCCAAGGTGCTGCGGCTGTGGATGTGCTGGAGGTTGGGAAAAGAAGGGGCTGGCTGAGCAGTAAGTCAGAGTACCACTCCCCTCCCTCAACCTGTGCATCTTACCGAGGAAATAAGCAACCTCCTGGCCCGCCCGGAGCCCTGGAGGCCGGGCAGATTTCCTCACCCCACCTTCCCTCCTTCTCCAGCCCCAGTTATACCTGGCCCCTCCTTCCTTTCCGCCCCTCCCTAGCCTATCCCATCTCCAGCTGCGTGCCGGGCCCACTTTCCCAGCTGAGTCTTCCTTAGCTTTCCACATTCTAGGGCCTTGCTGTACCTTCTTGTTCGTCTTGATCAGCTGAATGACTTCATAGTACACCTTTCTCCACAGCAGCTCCTCAGCCTTCCTCCCATAGTCCACAGGATGGAGGAACATAAGCTTGACGCAGAGCTCGCGCAGCCTGGGAGGGAGGGGAGCGTGAGACACTGTCCGTCCCGAGCACGGGACACAGGAATAAGGCTGGGGCACCATCCCCACCAAGGAATTTACACGCCCCCAAGTGACATCCAGAGTCGGCACAAGCACAGTAAGGGTCTAGGAAAGCACTGGGAGCAACAGAAGACAGGAACAGAAAGCAATCAGAACTTTAACAGTCTCTCCCTGCACCCTGCACTCTTACCCTTCCCTCCTTTCCCTCATTGTGCAGTACGGCCAACTACTTTCACTCATAAGCCACTTTTTTAGGCATGTGTATGTGGTGCAGAGGAACAAACCCAGGGCTTCCCACATGCCAGGCAGGCACTCTGCTCTGAGCCACAGGCACCACTTACTTTTTCATTTTGAAGATCTTGCTAAAGTGCTCATGCTGCCCTTGATCTTGTCATGCTCCTGCCTCAGCTTCCCAAGATTAGAGGCCTGGACAACCATGCCTGGCTCCTATGTCATTCCTTTTTTGTTTTGTTTTGTTTTTTTGTATTAGTGAAGTTTTTTTTGTTTGTTTGTTTGTTTTGTACTGTGGATTGAACTTGGGCCTTTGCGCTTGCAAGGCAGGCAGCAGAACCACTGAGCCAAATCCCTGGCCCCCCCTTTTTTTTTGTTTGTTTTTTTGACACAGGGTCTCTTTAGGTAGTTGAGACTGACCTGCAACTCATTATATAGCCGAGACTGGTCTCGAACTCACAGTGATCCTCCTGCCTCAGCCTCCCAAGTGCTGGGATTACACCAGGCCTGGCTTTGTATGCCATTCTTATTGCACCAGTGCAATGGATATAGAAGCTGCTGCAGATGGAGCAGAGATTCCCCAGCTTTTTTTTTTTTTTTTTAAAAAAAGGAGAAGAAGAAAAAAAAAAACCCAGAAAGCCAGGGTGGTGGTCATGCCTGTAATCTCAGGGCTCGGGAGGCTGAGGCAGGAGGAATGCTGCAAGTTTGAGCCATCCTGGGGTACATAGTGAGTTCAAGGCCAGCCTGAACTACAAAGCAAGACCCTCTCTCAAAAAACCCAATAAATAAAAATATAAAATGAAGGATGAGAACTTTAATTTGGTTCGCACCCATCTCCTCTGTGAGGAAGGCAAGAGATTTTACAGCCCATTATGGTCCCATGAGATCGAGAAGTTAAAGAAGAAAACACACACTGATATCCAGCAGGGTTTCTGGTAGAGACAGGCAGGGAAACAGTAAGGATTTGTGGTTCTGAGTCTCCAGCTTACTTGTTCCTCAGGCTAATGTTCTCAGGTTTGAACACTTCTTGATAAGCGGTTTTGTTGCAAAGAATGAGGTCAAGTCGATGCACAGCCTCCACCACAGCCCTGCAAGGAAACAAAGGCAGAGCCCTGAGCCTCATGCACCAATCATCTTGGAAAGGCTGAAGAAGTAGGGATGATGCCGGGGATTTAGCTCAGTGGTTCCTGCGCCTGCCTTGCAAGTACAAGGTCTCGAGATTGATCCCCAGTACCAAA